CCAGTAGCAAAAGCATGTCTTGCAGCATGGGACTGGGGTAACCATTGTGAAAATAAGGCTTTAAGCCCTGTGTTTCCATTTCTAAGTGCTACCATTGCTAGCTATCTCCCAATTGTGGTCACTCATTCTTGCTATGGGTCAAACTTATCCTTTTCCACAGGAAGCTTTTTTCCAGAACCCAGCTGTTTCACTGCAACTACCATATCCTTAGATCACCTTCTGCTATAGAAGAGTTTGGTGCTCAGAATCTGTGCCCACTTCTCTACAGGCAGGCCATCTGCAGTTTGAGGGAAGCTGCAAGTCTTGACAGCATCGCTTGTGCAGGTTGTGACGGTACCCTGCGTCTGGCATGTACTTGGTCCAGGGACATGCAGGAAGACGATGAGGTGAAACGGATTTGTTGAGGCAAGTGTAGACCTGAACAAGACCTCTGTCCTATTGCAGTTGACTCCTGACTTCCCTGGTGCCTTTTTTTTTTTTCTCTGTAGTCTTGTAGCATTCATAAGGTCACAGAATAGTTTGGGTTGGAAGGGACCTTAAAGACCATCCAGTTCCAACCCCCCTGCCATGGGCAGGGACACCTTCCACTAGACCAGGTTGCTCAAAGCCTCATCCAGCCTGGCCTTGAACACTTCCAGGGATGGGGCATCCACAGCTTCTCTGGGCAACCTGTTCCAGTGCCTCACCACCCTCTCCGGGAAGAACTTCTTCCTGATATCCAATCTAAACCTCCCCACTTCCAATTTAACCCCGTTACCCCTTGTCCTGTCACTACAGGCCCTTGTAAAAAGTCCCCCCCAGCTTCCTTGTAGCCCCTTCAGGCACTGGAAGGGGCTATAAGGTCTCCCCGGAGCCTTCTCTTCTCCAGGCTGAACAAGCCCAACTCTCTCAGCCTGTCCCCATGGCAGAGGTGCTCCAGCCCTCGGAGCATCTTTGTTTCCTCCTCTGGACTCACTCCAACCGATTGATATCCTTCTGATGTTGGGGGGCCCCAATAAGCATCATAATATAAGTGTGAAGGTTCACCTGGACCCGTTGAGTCTGGCATCCTTGTTTCCGTTGTGGCGGCTGTTGTAGCCTTAAGATATAAGCAGTGAAGCTTCCAGCTCTTTCCTCTTAAAGCTCTGGCATGTGGGAGCAGTTTTCAGAGATGGAAAAGTGGGTGCTGAAATTGCTGATGCTCAGTGATTTCCTGGGTATGCACTCGAACAGAGGAGGATGGTTTCTGCCTGGCAGGATGTGCTGGCTGGTGGATTCCCAGTCGGCTGCTGCAACTGCCACAAAGCTCAGTGCACGCATGTGCCTTCCCTGTCTTCCTGCAGCACTCCTCCAAATGGGAGCAGGGGAGGGGAGGAGATGGGTGTTGCCAGGATGCCAGGCTGTTCTAGCAGCTCACAGTAGATAGGGAAGGCATGCCAACTAGAGCAGAAACATTCTGGTGGAGACCTGGGCTATGACACCTGCAGGGATGTGAGGAATGCAGCAGGACAGCCTAGGAGCTGTGCACTCCAGTTCCCGAGGAACTCCTTGGAAGAGCATTCTTTATCCCAGTGTGAGCCTCCCTGTGCCAAAGGCAAACAACGGTGTCTCCCCTCCGTTCTGCAGGACCTTCTGAGTTCATTTTCTGCCTGGGTCAAGGGTGCTCGGTGCCCTTTACTGAACATGTGGGAGCAGGAGGAGTGCTCGTGCAGCAGCGTCAGCCTGCCCAACCTTGGTGTTGGTTGCCATAGAGCATGTTTCCTCTCTGGAGGACTGCTGGGTACTGAGTGTGGACCTGCCAGCACTGGGGAGAGCTAGAGCTCTGTAGGGAAGAATTGTCACTTTGGATGGATAATAAGCCAGCTCCCACCAGTATTTGTTGGTTTTCCTTGCTGCGTGAGAGGTAGCAGCATTTAAGTGACTGCTCTGCAGTCCTCCCTTCGTTTTTATGGTTGGTTCTTGGAAGTGAACAACCTGTGTGCTGTTCTCAGGTTGTGCACCCTGTGTTCAGCCTGGACGATCCCCCATCCACCCTTGAGTACCAACATGCTTCCAGTGCTCAGCAGAGCTGTGCTTCTAGGATGTTGTCCTGGGGGAGAGAGACCAGGATTGTGTAGAGGCGTTTGTACAACTGCGAGAGGAGAGGAGCCTGTGTCAGTATGTCCTGAGGATGTAGTTGTGTGGTAGGATGGGTCTGATGTGCTGTGGGTCAGGATGTTTGGACTACTTTCCCTTCTCAGAGTCTGAAATCTTTACAGTTCTGGAAAAACAAGTCCATCGTGAAATGCTGGGAGCTTTTGCTGCTGGAAGGGCTGAAGGAAGACAGGATGTTGCTGTAGTAGAGGTTCTGGTGGTTTAACACATGGCTTAGCGATTTCTCGGTTGCGGAGTAGTTCTGTGCACAGCGGAATTAATGAGGCTGATTTTCTATGGATCTGGGTCTTGTCTGACTCTGTTATCTAGCGAGGTGCAAGCTCTGGTGGCTTTTTATCATGACTTGTAACGTGTTCCTCTTCCCAATGCATTTGTCTTGTACTTTTTGAAGATGACAGCAGGATCTCTGTATGGACATAAGTAATGCTCCCGTGAAAACTGTCGGCATCTCACAGCTGACCTCGGCATGCAGAGGGACAGATGAAGAAGCACTTGTGCTGCACAGCTGTGTGAGCCTTGGGGCAGAGCTCTAGATTTGTTCTGCGCTGGGTATGAGGCAGCTCCTGGCGATCTCCTTGTGTCCCGAGCATTGCCTATGCTCCAGAGGACTCCCACTTCCTCACTTCCTCATTTCTGAGTCTGTTTCCTTATGAGCTGGAACCAGTGGTGGGGCTGATTCACTGTTTAGCAGTTGTTACCTTGGCTTCTGTGGAAGCAGGTATGTGGCTGCTGAGCTTTCCTGGGAGGCTGTCTGCACCCATTTTGGAGCAGGACAACCGTGGTTTGCCAGACCTGGCAGCACTAGCATCCTTTGGGCTGCCAGTCTCTTCCTCTAGAGCTGTGAATCGTTGCACATCTCTTCCTAAACTGTGCTCCCCTTGGGCACAGCTTCCCTTGTTGCTTTAGCACTCGATCACTCCCTGGATGTGTCATAAAGGTGGGAAAAAGAATAACCGGGGGAATTGTGGACTAGAATGCTTAGCTGGCAGTTCCTGGAGAATAGGTTTGGAAGATGGGATACAAGTGGCAACCAACTCTCAACAGACCTGTTCTTTGAAACAGTAGTCTATGTCCTTTATCTTGATCTTAGGTTTTTTGTGCCATCCTTGCCAGAGGGTCTCCTCTAAAGCAAATGAGGAAATGTCACAGTCCGGATGACACTTCTCAGTGTGAAATGCTCAGCACATGGGGTAGCTGTGGGTGTAGCATGGCAGATACCCAAAAGTGAAGGGTGCAGGCTCAGGTTTGGTGCTGGATCATGGAGTGAATGCGAAGTCAGCATTGTGACTCCGGGGTAGTTAGGGGAGGGCTCTGCTCTTGCTCGAGGGTGTGAAGAGGAACCTGGTGTTCAGGAGACACAAACGTGTTTCTGCCCTGCTGAGGTTCGGTAAGGTCTCCGCAGTGTGTCAAGAGTTTGCTGCCTTTCCTGAGGGGTGAGTGTGCATCGCTGTTTGCCATCTTTGCTTTCAGTGCGGCAGCGAAGAAGAAACCAGCCCCATCTGTGGCTCAGGGCCCGCTCCTGGGCTGGGGTAGTGGTGGGTGAGCTGGGAGCTTGCCTTGAGCTCCACGGGGCAGAGCTGGGGAAGAAAGGAGCAGTGCCAAGAAGGGGAGCTCTGCTCTCTGCTCCTGTACTGGGGCATAACTTCTGCTTGCTCAGTAAACAAGGCTGAACAAAGAGCTCAAACCACGCAGAGGTGGCTCCTGCAGGAGGACAAAGCCAAATCTGTTGGCAGCTCTCTCCCCCTGCCTCCTCCCTCGTAGTGCCTGGGCGGTTGGCCAGCTTCCTGCCAGCACAGCCCCGGGTGCTCAGGTTGCTGCTCCTGCCTGCTGGCCTCGAGTGACCGATAGCCAGGTGGGGGGTAGCTTTCCTCCTGGTGCTGAGGCACCCGAAGAGCCTGCTGGGGTGGCCCAGCAGGAAGGGCAGTGGGGGTGAGGCTGGGTGAGTGAGTGGTGGGGTAGCAAGAGCACTGTCAGCCTGTTGTAAGAGGGTTTGCCTGCTTCTTGTGCCTCTTGCCCTCTGGCCTGCTGTTTCCCTAGCTCCTGGGTTTTCTGTGCTAGGATCTTGCAGCACTGTGGGTCCCAGTGGGACTTGGTGTCCCTGTGCAAAGGCAGCAGCTCGGTACTCTCCTGTTGTATACCTGGGGGGACTGGGGGAGCCATTGGGCTGGCAGCAGGGGGGAACGAAGCTGGAAAAGCTGTCAGTGTTTCAGGCTGACACCCACACAGGCTGACTCGGTTCATGCTGGAGGTGTGATGTCCCTTATCGCCCTTATGGCCATGCTGTGCTGGGATCATCAGGGTGTACTCTTCTAGTCAGGGGATTTTTTTGTTTGGCCCAGTAAGGCCACTGATGGCCTCCCTGTCTGAGAGATGCTCTTCCAGGAGATTTTCCATGGAGGAAGCAGGAAGCTTGGAGCTGGCAATCCTCCACTTTTCTGTTCCCTTTCCTCTGCAGTTGGAAGAGCTGTTGAGCTCCGACAGCCCCCTCGCATCAGTGGTCGGTGGGCTGGAGGTGTATGCGTTGCAACCCCAGCTGCCAACTACAAATCTCCGCTCTTAAATGGAAGCTAAATCAGCTTTCCTTGCTGCTGGGAGTGTGGGGGTGTTGGAGGTCAGCACTGATTTTTAGCCTTTTTGCCTCCTGTCCACGTGTGCCACCTGCAGTGGTGGCCAGCGCTCTGTACCACGAAAGCAGAGGCACATGCCCTGACAGCTGCCTGCTGCCAACGGGAGAGGGAGAGACGAAGGGCTTAGTGTGGGCAACCGGTTGAACACTGTCTGGCTGCTTGGAGGAGGCTGTGATGCTCGTGTCTGGTTGTGGCTCTGAAACAGCACTGAGGCACTCTGGTTTTGTGTCTCTCTCTGCGCAGCGCTGCAGGAGCAGGACTATGTCCACCATGGTGTACCCAAGAGAGGAGAAACTGGACAAGCTGAGCCAAGAGGAGATCATTTCCAACACCAAGCTGGTGATGCAAGGGCTGGAGGCGCTCAAGAATGAGCACAACTCCATCCTGCACAGCTTGCTGGAGACCATCAAGTGCCTGAAGAAAGATGAAGAAGCCAATCTCGTGCATGAGAAGTCCAACCTGCTGCGCAAGTCGGTGGAGATGATCGAACTGGGGCTCGGAGAAGCTCAGGTGAGAGTGATGGGGGCATCACTGCAGCCCCCCAGGTGTAACGCAGGACTGATGGGGAAGGCGGGCACATAGCCATTCCCCATAAGCTGAGGGGCAGCCAGGGATCGCGTGTAGAAGGCAAGGGCGGGCCCTAAGTGTGGGCGTGAGGGAGATACAGGTTGTGGTTGGTGCTAACTGGGACTCTTGACAAGGTGATGATGGCGTTGTCCAACCATCTGAATGCCGTGGAGTCGGAGAAGCAGAAGCTGCGCGCTCAGGTGCGGAGGCTGTGCCAGGAGAACCAGTGGCTGCGCGACGAGCTTGCCAACACCCAGCAGAAGCTGCAGCGCAGTGAGCAAACCGTGGCTCAGCTGGAGGAGGAGAAGAAACACCTTGAGTTCATGAACCAGCTGAAGAAGTACGATGAGGATGTCTCGCCTTCGGTATGCCCTTGGCCTGTCGAGCAGCCGCCTTTGGGGGTGGGAGAGGTTGGACCAGCAGGATGACCTAGGTGTTGCCCTGGATTTTACCCCTCCCAGCTACTGTGTGCAGCAATGCCTGTAACTAAAGGGAGCCTGTGTGGGGCAGGGTCTCCGGGAGAACATGGAGTAGCGTGCCAGGATGCGCTGGGGAAACCCGGTTTTGTTAGGTGTGTTGGCTGGGGGGGAAGGTGGTGGCAGAGATGACAGGGGAAGTTGAGGGTGGTGGTGGTCTGCAGCAGGGAGGAGAGGTTGGCAGCTGACAGCCCAGGCTGTTGCTGTCTCCTTTGAGCACCAACGGTATTGTGATTCCCATCCTCTCAGGAGGAGAAGGAGGGTGACTCCACCAAGGACTCTCTGGATGATCTGTTCCCAAACGAGGAGGAGGAGCATGGTCCTGGATGTAAGTGTTTTCTCATGCGTGGTTGCTGGCTGTGTCTGTTCAAGCCTCCTGTGCCAACCGTGCCCCTGTTTGTCCCTCTGTGCCTGCAGTGCCCCACCAGCACAGCAGTGCGGTGGCAGCTGCCCAGCAGGGAGGCTACGAGATTCCCGCACGCCTGCGCACCCTCCACAACCTTGTCATCCAGTACGCCTCGCAGGGACGCTACGAGGTGGCTGTGCCGCTCTGCAAGCAGGCGCTGGAGGACCTGGAGAAGACATCGGGCCATGATCACCCTGATGTGGCCACCATGCTCAACATCCTGGCATTAGTGTACAGGTGAGCGTGGTGGGGAGGGCAGGACTGGGCAGGAAGGGCTTCCTGCCTCTCCCACTTACCAGGACAACACATTCTGGTGACAGGGAGCTCCCTCAGCTCTCAGTGCCTTGCCTTTCAAAAAGGTTTTGGCACATATGAGGTATTGAGACTGCCAAGCTCCCTGATATAATTAGGGATTGTCTAAGCTGGGGAGGAATGGAGAGATGAAAGGGCTGTGGGGGCTGGATCTGTGTGGAAGGAGGACTGCTTTTAGCAGTTCTGCTTGCCACGGGCTGTGGTGTCCACATCCCAACTAACTTTGGCTGGCTTTGCACCGCAGGGATCAGAATAAATACAAAGAGGCAGCGCACCTCTTGAACGATGCTCTCTCCATCCGTGAGAAGACCCTGGGCAAAGACCACCCGGCGGTGAGTGTCTCCCTCCTCTGCCAGCCACTTCCGTGGGTTAGAACGGTGCTGTCGTGGTGTGTCTGCAGCAGGACTGCCGTGGGCAGCAGTGCGTTCTGGGATGCAATGGGGACTCTTCACACGAGGTGGGGCTCGGGTTTACTGCTTCAGTATTCCCTGCTGTCTTGTTCACTGTGGCCTCTTGGGAGTTGGCTTCTGGATCCTGCGATGTAGGCAGGGTAGCCTTCTGCTGCTGGACCTTGTTCTCTTCAGAAGTAGCATGAAGGAATTGAGACAGTCACTGTTCCTGCTGCTTGCACCCCTTGTTTGGTCCCAGTAGATTCTGCTTTGTTTCATGGAGAAGCTTATGTCTCTGCAGGTGGCAGCAACTTTGAACAATCTGGCTGTTCTCTATGGCAAGAGAGGGAAGTACAAAGAAGCAGAGCCACTGTGTAAGCGAGCCCTGGAGATCCGTGAGAAGGTACTGGTTTCCCACACTTTCCTTACTTCCTTCCAGTTCTCCCTGAGGGTTTTCCCATTACCTCACTGCACCTGAGAGATCCAGGACCTACCTAGTCTCTTTGGCTGCTGATTCTGCCACCCCCTTCCTGTCTCTTCAGTGTTTGTGGCCTTGGAGAGGCCTGGCAGGAGGTGAAAGCTGGGATTTCTCCTCTCTACCTCCCTAGTCCTTGGATCTTTTCTGACATAGGCATGTCCTGGAGGGACTACAGTACCTATCTCCAGGACTCCACTGTGGTCTTTCAGTGTTGACTTTTTGTGGCTTGTCTTTTGTTCACTCAGGTCCTAGGCAAAGACCATCCCGATGTGGCCAAGCAGCTGAACAATCTGGCCCTGCTGTGCCAGAACCAGGGCAAGTATGATGAGGTGGAGTACTATTACTGCCGGGCCCTGGAGATCTATGAGAACTGCCTGGGTCCTGATGACCCCAACGTGGCCAAGACCAAGAACAACCTGGTGAGACCCTGGGGAAAGGCCAGTGGGGGTGGGGAGTGGTGCCATGGGAAAGGTGAGCGTTGCCCAGTGCTTGAGGAAGCAGAGAGAGAACCGCAAGAAAGGGGAGGCGGGGAGAGTTGATCTATAAGGCCAGTGGGGGTGGGGAGTGGTACCATGGGAAAGGTGAGCGTTGCCCGGTGCTTGAGGAAGCAGAGAGAACCACAAGAAGGGGGAGGCGGGGAGAGTTGATCTGTGTTGCGCAGTGGGGCTGGAGCTGTTTTCTTGGTTGCAGGCCTCCTGTTACCTGAAGCAAGGCAAATACAAAGATGCAGAGGTCCTGTACAAGGAGATCCTCACCCGTGCTCACGTGAAGGAGTTCGGCTCTGTGGACGGTTTGTACAGAAGCTGTTGGGGATGGGGAAGGGTGAGCAGTTTGGGTTCCTGAGCCCAGCCTAGGCTTGGCTGGTTCTGCTGTCCCCCTGGCAGAGGGCTGAGGTGCCTTGCAGCGCCCTGCTTTGGGCAGCCCTTGAGACACTGCCATTCTAGTGTGCTACGCTGCTCCCCCTCTTCTCTCAGAGGAGGCTGGGAGAGCTCTGGCTGCCAGTCTTTACTGGGCTGGCAACAGTTGTGGCTAAAAGGGGGAATAGCAAGTGGCACAATCATTCCCAGGCACAGGCTGAAGTTTCTCCTGTATATCTGGCACAAGTATTCCACTACGGGAGGACTTGTTCCTTCCTTTCCTTGTTCATGCCCTTGCAATGTCCGTTGCCTTTCTTGGGGCCCTGGCCCAGGGGATCTGGAAGGCTTGTTACACGCCCTGGTGAGCTGCTAGCCAGGCAGTGCAGGGGGCAGAGCCCCAGCAAAAGTGGCATTGCAACAGGGTGAGGTGGTGAGGGGAGCTCTCTTGTGTTCTTCCCCCACAGATGAACACAAGCCGATCTGGATGCATGCAGAGGAGAGAGAGGAGATGAGCAAGGTGAGTCTGAGCTGATGGTGCTGCCTGTTGATAGCAGCAAGAGCCTGGGGAGAGGAAGGAAATTCAGGGGGTTTGATCCTCTTACCACAGCCAGACCCTCCTTCCTGCAGCCTGAAGAGCTGCCGTGGCCCCTGATGAAGGCCAGGAGGCATCTGAAGAGTGGGAAGGAAGCACAGCTGCTCCTTGGGGCAGGAGGGAGGGAAGGCCCATTGGACAGTGTGATGCTTTTCCTGGGTCAGGGGGTACTTCTCACTCTTGGGTGTGGCTGCATGCTCTCTCTTTGCTTCAGCAATCCCTCTAGGGCATGCAGATGATGGCGGATGGCAGGGGCTTGTGCTGCAGGGCCTTGGCATTCTGTTCCAAAGAACTGCTCGTACCCAGAGCACAACACACTTCTGAAGCAGCCCTGAGGCTGCCTGTGGAAAAATGGAGGTCAAGAAGAAACTGCTGCCATCACCTTGTTTAGGAAACGGAGCCAAACCTTCTGAAAAAGATCTCTGCACAGGGCAGGTCCTGGTGGTTCTTTGCTCTGCCTGGCCTCTGAAAGAGGATAGGCATGGGTTGTGCTTGCCTAAGCTGAGAGGCAAAGAAGCTGTTGCTCTTACTGCTCAGGAGGAGGCTCCTTGTTACTTGTGTGCACAGCTGATAAAAGTAGCAGGGTCCTATCTCTGCTTTTCGCAAGCCTAAGGCCTCACCTGCTTTTTGGCAGGTGGGTGAAGCAACAGCATGAAGGGCTCTGGTCTAGTCCTCTAGCTGCAGTGGGAGCAGATGCCATCCCTCTCCTTTCCTTTGCCCTTGGAGCAGGTGCTGTCCCTAATGGGCTCAGACAGCAGGCTGGCAGGCTCGGCTTGGCAACTAACTGGTCCCATCCTGCACGTCTGAAGAGCAGGGCACTAGCAGCTGCCTCCCACCAGCATGCTGTGTCTTCCTACTGAACCACATTGCGGTCCCTAGTGCAGGGCAGTGCTTGGCTCCACCTTGCACTGCTCCATTCGCTGCCCTGTGAAGGCTCTGCTGCACAGAAATTACACTTGTGGTGGCACCATCCTATGCAGGAGAAGTCAAAGTTGGAGGAGAGACCAGGCTCCCCTTGCTCCATCTGGGACTGAGACACTTCTGGTGGTGTCTTTGGAGAATGAAGAGATCAGAAGTAGATAGTTGTCCGGTGGAGCAATGCAAACTTTGCTGTGAGGCAAGAGAACAGGCCCAGGGACCTACAGTTGGAGTGAGATTTGTTTTACAGCCTGAGGCAAGGACTGAGCTGCTTTTCCTACCCCTGGGGCTCCCATCCCCAGGGCAGCATGTCCGTGGCACATCTGCCTGGCATGGCCTTCCTGGCCCAGCAGCAGTAACCAGACCTGCTTGTGCTGCTGGCCCAGGGGCTGGGGCTGCTGCGCTCTGCTTCGTGCCATGTTCCACATCTCCTATTAAAAAGCATCAAACACCTCTTGCAGAGCTTCACTTCTTTCTTGCCCTCACTCCTCTCTCTCCCTCTGCTCTCGGTGGCAGAGGGCGAGGCCAGCTTGTGCCAGCGGCAGGCCCTTGGGCACAGATGGCAGACTGGCCTGCCCCAGGAGACGGGACACCTCTGGCTCAGCCACCCTCAGGGCTGCCTCTGCACAAGCTTCAGAGGGGTTTGGGTCAGAGCTCTGCGGTCTCTGGTGCCTGCCCAGGGTGTGCAGGCCCAGGGAAGCACACGCATGCCTATGGCTCAGGGAGGTTCCAGCGTGTGGGGTAAAGATCTGAGAAACAGTGGGACTGAGTAAGAAAAATGGTCCTGGTGATGACATTTTGTTCTGGGCTAGAGCCCCAACCAGAGGGAATCTCTTGCTGTGAAGCGGTGCCCCCTGCACCTGCCCAGTGCCAGTATCCCTGCTGGGCTGGGTGCTTCCCACCCAGCCTGCGTGTCCCATGGGTGCAGAGCCAGGGGCATGGCTTGCCACGCACCGGGGTGTGCAGTGTGTGGACCGGCAGCGGTGGGATTCCTGCCGGCAGGTGCTGTGGTCCCTGGTGACAGGGCAGTGCTGGCTGATGGCCTGCAGCCTGAGTTGTCCTGGCCCTAGGTCTTTCTCCTTGAGCATCACACTGTGTCCCCTCTCCCATTGCTCTGGCCAGCAGCCTCTCTGCTCCTGGCTGTGGCAGGGCCAGCTGGCCTTGGGGTGCAAGAGCTGGGCATGGAGAGGAGACAGCTGGGCCCAGCTGCTGTGGGGCAGGCCTGGCTGTGCAGGCAGAAGGCTTGGATGTGGCTGGCTGATCCTTTTGCTAGCCGTGCTGGAGGGGTTTAGCGCCTGTGCTGCCTGGCATGCCCATGGAGTTTTTGTTGGTTTTGTGGTGGCTTTTTTGGGGTGTTTTTCTCCCTTTTGCATGCTGCAGGGGGTTGTGGGTATCATGTCCTCCAGAGTTCCATAAGGATGGGCTGTGTTATCCCTGCTGCCTTTGGTACCACAGAAGGGGCAAGGAGATGGGATTGTTCTTGCTGGGGTAGGGACATTCCTTTTACTTGTGGCTCAAATCTGTTGCAGCAAATGGTCTTTCAGCTTTCCCTCCAAAAACCTGCTGGGCTTCATCACTGTTTGCAAGTTGTGTTTCTGAAGGCTGGGCTGGTGGGGGGTGCAGACTGGTGCAGACCCTGGTACCCAGTGGGAGAGCACAGACAGTAGGCACGGGCCTAACAGCTCTGCTCTCTCCTCACCCTGCAGAGCAAGCACAGAGACAGCGCTCCCTACGCTGAGTACGGCGGCTGGTACAAGGCCTGTAAGGTTAGCAGGTAAGCGCTGTTTCCTGGGTGGCTGTGGGATCTGGAGGGGGTGTCCCCAGGGGTCTTGCTTATGTTCCATCTGTTATTGCAGCCCGACTGTGAACACCACTCTGAGGAACCTGGGTGCGCTGTACCGGCGCCAGGGCAAGCTAGAGGCAGCTGAGACCTTGGAGGAGTGTGCAGTTCGCTCTCGGCGGCAGGTAACCCCAAAGGGACCTTTCCCGGTGGAGGGGGCTTTGTGGGGCTTGGGATGGTGGGTCATGGCACAGCATTTGGCTTGGGCTGTGGGGTGGGACTCTGCTGGGCCTTGCAGTCTCTGATATACTTGGTTTTCATTCCCATGACACCAGAGCAGCTTAGCGGTTGGGGTTGCATTTGTGCAGGGGTACACGTGTGGGGTTGTGCACGGATGGAGCAGACATCAGTGTGTACACGTGGGGAAGAAGGCCTGGCACTCTGCATGCAGGACTACTCCAGCAGTGTTAGGGCAAGTCAGCTGCTGAGGAGATCTGCACTCACTGGGATGGTTTCTTTCCACTGGTTGATTGGTTTGGTGGTGGGGTTTTTTTTTTTGTTTTGGTTAGGGAACACACTAGGGATTTCCTAGAGTGCCTCTCACCCTAAGCTCTCAATCCTCAAATAATAAAGTAGGAGCTGTAAGCACCTAGCACAAAGACTGCAGAACAGCAGGAGCTTTCACGCACCAAAACGTGAAGAAAAAAAAGCTGTCAGCTTTGGGGTAGCAAGCCCTTGTCCCCCAGCGTGGTAGGGGCTCACTGAGGTGGGAACCCAAACAGGGACCGCTACATGCAGAGTGGCATTTGGCTCCATCCATCTTATGCCGGAGGGTTTTGGCTGCGATGAGACAATGGCCAAGAGAGTGGACAGAACCGAGCGCAGCAAGGCCGCAGCAGATTGCCAGAGGGAAAAAACAGTGGAAGGCAAAATATGGTGCTTCCTTATCCCTTTCTACTTGCAGGGCATCGACCCGATCAACCAGACGAAGGTGGTGGAGATCCTGAAGGAGGGCGACGGCACAGAGAGACGTCGGAGCCTGGGGGGCAGTGTCAAGTACGAGAATGCCACAGACGGTAGCGAGGAAGTGAGTATGGGCGTGGAATGGAGCGGGGTAAGTACAAGACACCATCAAGAATGGCCTCAGCTGGCTGCCAGAGGGAAGGGACAGCCTGGCTCAGGACTGTCCCTGCGTGGCCTGTCGTGGCATCCTTGTCTACTTCCATTCGTTCCCTGCACACTTCCTTCCACTCTTTCTTGGCATGAGCCAGCCAGCCCGCAAAGGTGCATGCCTGGGCCTGGCTTCTGGTGTACGGGCCAGATATCCCTAACTGAGGGCTCCTGCTTCCAGGGGGCTGCCAGGCCCTAGCAACGCACAGCATGAGCTGGTCCTGGTCTGCCCTTAATCTTAGCCTTGCAACCTTATTAACATATCTCCCTGCTGCTCCCCTCTTGAGGCCCCGGCTGAGAGCATTGGCCCCATCTCAGGCCCACGCGGCCTCTGTGAGCACCTTGGCTGGTTGTCCCGCACTGCGCCACGGGCAATGCTGAGCCTGGGAAGGGCTATGTGCGTGTGTGTGCCTGGTGTGGTTGTGACTGAGTGGCTACAGGGCATGGGAATAGTCTGCAGCCAGGGTCTGTGCTGTCCCCCTCTCCCGGTCTCACGCCCTCCGTGGGCTCTGGCCAAGCAGAGGCCGTAACAGACGGGCCTTTGCGGGATGCCAGGTTGTGGCAAAGGAGGCTGATGTTAGCTGAGGCACAGACAGGGTGACCCGAGCCTGTCTAGGCTTGCTCTGCGACCGAGGGGCACTTCGGTCACTCGCACTGAGTTTGGAGGAAGGCAGCGGTCCAGGTCTGGGATAGGTGCCTTTTTTCTCCTGTGAGGAGGAGGATGGAGGAGAGGCAAGCGAGCGTGGTGCTGGTGGGTGCTTGGGTCAAGAGCTGCTAGGGCTGTGAACGCTCGCTGTTCCTCCTGCACACTCTAGCTGAGAGCGTAGCGTAGCTGGGTGCCCGGGGGTTGTTGCAGCCTGGCACAGATGACACACTAGGCATATGGAGTCCTGCGCTCCCTCCTCCCATCTGCTGTCACTAACCCTTCTTTCCTACCTGGCTCAGCTCCATCCCCACCCGCATGAGCTCCCTCCCTTCCTCCTTCCTCTTCCCTGTTGCCATGACAGCCCCTCAACACCCAAGCCTGAAGCCTGCTGGCTCTCTTGATTGTGGATTGTACCCAGGAGGTGGCTGGAGGAGACACGGGGAGCAGAGCTTTGAGGGGACCCAGCAGCTCTGCCAGATGCAGGGCTGTCCTCTGTCCCAGCTCTGGGCGCCAGGAGTGAAGAGGGTTCTAGCCCCGGCAAAGCACCAACCCTGGGCCCTGGCGCACCCCAACAGTGGAGGGGCTAGCCAAGCACAAAGGGGGATGTGCGGGTTGGGATTAGCACCACCTGGTCTCTGTCCTGGCTGTGGTTGGTGGTGGGTGTTTGCTTTGCGCTGGTGATGGTCTGGGACACCTTCCTGACCGGCTCTGGTCTGATCATCCCAAGCAAGCAGGCAATGCCACCCTCTCCCCTAGGCCGACCCAGCCGAGGTGGATAGTCCCTGCTGATGTGACCCTTCCCCAGGGGCCTTGGCAGGGCTTCCCTGGCCCCAGCCAGCTGTAGATAGGGGGTTTGAGGGCTGGCCCAGCACCCTGGGGGACATGGCTGCTGCCGTGTGATGCTCAGTGCTTCCTCCAGCCTGCTGCACACATAGCCAGCCTCCTCTCACAGCCAGCAGCCCTGCACTGGGCTGCAGCTCTCCCCCCCAAAAAGAAGTCTGAGGCAGCTCCTGCTGCTTCTGTCTGTCACAGCCAGTTGTTCCCTGTACTGCTCTAGAGAGCTGGGACGTGCTGCCTCAGGGCGGTGTCTGCTGCCATCCCTTAGCTGTCAGCTGCTGCAGGCAGGGCCATGGGAGTCCCCAGGGTGCCAGCAGCCTCTGCCCTACTGCCAAGGGCAGCTCTGGAAGCACCCCAGTGCCTGGACCAGCTACTTGCTGCCCAGGTAATTGGGCTGTGAGAGCAGGGATGTCACCAGCTCGGTGGCACTCGGGCCTTGGCAGGCACACCATGCCCAGGAGCAGGGAACCCTCCAGGCTGTTCCTCCCCAAGCTAGCTGTTCCTGCCAGCCTGCTAGAGCGTGCTGGCAAAGATGTGAGTCTGCTGCATCAGCCTCACAAGGAACCCTCCTTGCCCAGACACGGCCAGTTGTCTCTGCATGCAGCCTGGGCCCTGTCCTACCTGATCCCTGGGTGACCTACAACCTCACGGCCTTGTAAATTGTGTCTTTCTCCTCTCTGTGCACTAGGCTTAAATGCCTCCCGAGACTCCCTCTTTCCCCTCCACCGCAGTCACCTGGATGTTTGTGTTGTATCTTCCGACTTTTCCTCCACACCATCCCTCCTTCCTCGGCAAGACCTCCACGCCAGTCCCCCAACCCTCCCGGCGCGCGAGGGCACCGCGATGCCTGCAGAGGAGTGCCAGGCCACGTGGCCCAGCTCCAGTCCTGTGGCCAGCAAGAGCAGGAAGAATCTGCGAGGAGCTGCCCGCTCCCCCAGGCCAGGGTGACAGGCCACCGTCCCCTTGCGTGCCCCCACTCCCAGCCTGCCCTCGCTCATCCCCGGGGACCAGGCCTGCAGGGGATTGTCTTCACTCCAGGCGTGCCAACTCCACCATCATTAGACATCCTCAACCCTCTTAGCTTGTTCCCTTCATCCCTGCAAAGGCCAGGATGGAGGCACGAAGGTGGGGGGGATATTTTGGGACAGAGAGGGCCGTCGTGCCTTCCCTGTAGGCTTAGCTGATGTTAGTGCCCTGTAGCAAACCTGCGCTGGCCACCAGTGAGCTGGGCTCTCCTTGCAGCACCGGGCAGCCCCAGTCTCGCTGTCATTCTCCCCACTGAGCTCTGTGACCCAGGGGCAGCATGTGAGTCTCTCTGCAGGGGTGCAGGAACGTGGGGTGGCCCATAGCTACCGTACATCCAAGATGAGGGGGTGACAGCCAAGGGCCGTGCATGGCACCTGCCAGGACGAGCGTGTTGGGTTGTAACCTCCTGACGTGATGCTGTAGCCGAGTTCCTTGCCTGATGGCACTGAGGGGTAAATCAGGTCCCCGTTGCTCCGGCATCCACCAGTGTGGCTGCTGGGAGAGGTGGGAGTGAAGCTGTTGGCTGTTCCTTGGAGGCAGAGGAAGGGTAGGAGGAAAGCAGGACTGTTCTGCAGACGGCCAGACCTGAGGCCATTGGAAGTGGCCGAGATGGGGAATGGGTTGGTTTGGAGCAGAGTGGTGGGAAGAAAAAAGGAGGTGCAAAGAAGGATGTGAGGAAAGGAAGAGCTGGGGCTTGGGGTGCTAGGAGCATGCGTGGGCAGATGGAAGGGTGGATGGCGGGGTGGGGGGTTTCCACAGGGGGAAAAGGAAGGTACCAGGTTACTCACGGGCAGTTCTTTAGCACAGGACCTGGCTTGCCAGGCGTGGGCCCTGGGGCTGTGACCCGCTGGCTGTCCCTAGCCCAGTGGGCGGGAAGTCTGTAACCCTGTCCCTGCTAGGAAGGCGATGCTGACCCTGGGGGTGTGTGGGGGTGGCTCAGTGCTTCTGGTGGGGCTCCACGCCTGCAGTGTCTGGTGCTGTCGGTCACTGCTGGGAAAAAGGGATTGTTTCCCAAGGCCAGCCCACTCCTGCCTTGACCCTCACACCCTTGGGTGCCCATGTTCATCCCACCTCCTACAGGAAGTGAATCTCCTTGGGAAGACAGCTAGGGAGGCTGCAGCCAGCAGGACAGAGCCCAGAGGCCAGCGCAGGACCCTCTCTTATTTATTTAGCTAGATAGTTTCTCTCCTAGTAGTCATCTGGAAGGTTGTGATACTAAATGTGCTTGTGTCTGCCTGGGTCTGGCTTTGCCGTGGTGGTGCGGAGGCCTTCGGGCACGCGCTTGCTGCTCCCCTGGGAGCTTGGGCTTGCTGAAAGGAGGTTTGTCCTCAGGACCATGGGTTGTGGAACCCAGGGCTGAGTGCTCTAGGGCTGCCACCTTCCCTGCCTGCCTCTCCCAGCGCTGCTCCATGCTCCCGGAAAGCGGTGAGTCCCCAACGCAGGGTGCATTCAGGCCTCGGTGCCACCCGCCCCTGTGCTTTGCCATGTCCCGGACCTGGTGCTGTAACAACCGTACCTCTGATTAAAGGTAGACAGACCCGAACCGCTGCCCTGTGCTTCTTTCCACGCTTTGGAGGCCAGCGTCGGTCGGCCAGCCCGGTGGTGGTGGGTGCAAGTGCTGCTGGAGCAGGCGTGGGTGTGCTTTGGGGTCTGTGTGCACACAGGGCGCCTCTCCTAGGCTGAGCATCGGAGCTGAGGGACCCAACCCCACCATGCCTCTCCCTAACTGCAAACTGGGGGTGTGCTGCTAACCTCAGCTTTTGTAGCCGTGTGTGGCAGGGCTCCCTGGGCTACCTGAGCTTGGGCCTTCCCCAGCTGGTGTTTCCATGAGCTAGAAATAATCCCATGGTGTCCCCCGGCGCTGAGCTCCATCTGCTGCCAAATCCTGCCCAACCCTCCCTGCAGCAGGCAGGGTGGGAGCACGCAGTGGAGCATGGCTCGGTGGTGGAGCTGCTTTTGGGTTGTTTTTTTTTCCTTTGGGTGCAGTGGGGGAGCAGGGGATCTGTGGTAAACCAAGCCCCATCAATGTTCTGGGTTAAAAATAACCCTGCAGAAGAGGGAGTGGGGAGAGAAGGGAGGCTATTTTTAACCCAGCATGCAGCAGCATGTGGTTCTGGTGTTGGTCTGCAGTCAGTCTGCACCACTGCAGCTGGGAAAATCTGGCTCCATGCTCCAGCCCTGACCCCAGAGCGTGCTTCTTGGCTGGATCCTGCTGCTCTTGTGCCCTGGTCCCGCTCCCTTGCCCCAGCTGTGTTCTCTCCTCTGCCCCAGCTTGTGTGCCCTGGCCAAAGGAACAGTGGCAGTATCCTGCGGGGAGGGTGGTGACACCCCACCCCCCATCTTTGCTAGTGCCACATGCTGATGGGCAACTCCTCCAAAACCTGCCCAGGATGCCTGGTGCAGGAGCAGAGTTGGTTACCTTGCTAATACCCCTGGTGCTCTCTGCGTTCCTGGTGAGCGGGTCCCTTGCAGCAGCAGCACGTGGCTCCCAGTTTGGAGACCCTCCATCCTGATCAGAAAGGGAAGAGGTTCAATGTGCTTGGCTTATCCAAAAAGGGATAAGATGAATACCAGGAGAAGGATTTGCTGGTAGGATAAGTCCTGCTCAGCTGTTGGAGAGAGGTCTAGGGTGGATCAGCTTTGAGTAATCGAAGCAGAGAAGTGTTGGAAAAGCCTTTCCCAGGGCCACAACTCCTAGGGGTCAGTACAAGGGGGGAGACTGGCCTAAGGCAGAGATGCTGCAGAGCTGCATGGGCAGTCCTGGGGCAATCGCTGCTGCCAGCCTGGGCCACAGGGCATTTTTGATCTTCTGGGGTGGCCAAAGGGGTTCCCACACATCCTCCTAAGGAGCAGAGGGCTTTTGCTGGCACCCTGTCTCATCTCCCCTGCCCTGATACCAAGGGGTCATGGATCAGGAGCAGGGAGGACTGCTGTTGTCAGGCCGTCGGGGCAGAGGTAACCCCACGTCAGCAGTGGTGCTACAGCCTTGTGTAAGGAGCCTGCCTGGCTGCAGGGGAAGAGCCTGGTGCCATGATGGCATGAGGTGGTGTCGTGCCTGCACCTTGCATGCAAGGAGCTTAATGCAGGTGGGCTAAGAGTCACTTTCTGGGGACTTCTGGGGGCATGTGGGAAGAAATGGGCTGGGGAACAAGATTTAGGGCTGGTTTTGGTCGCTGGAAAAAGCAGGCAGCCATAAAGAAACCCCTGCAAAGTGCCACCCAGGGACAGCTAGTGAGGACGGGCGCACTAAAGTCGGAGGGGCCAAGGAGAGTGGTGCTTGCTTGGAAATGCAGTGTTGGTGCAGCCAAAGGAAAGCATCCCAGCTGGAGCTGCCCCAGTTGCTCCGCAGGCTCAAAGCTAATCATCTGGGGCCTGTCAGAGGGGGGACAAGGCCGTGTGTGCATGTGGACTGGTCTTGTCTGATGTGAGTGAGCCTACAGACCCGGCATGCAGGACCAGGATGTGCATCAGGACGAATGCTGGATGGAGAGGAAGAATAGCAATGGCATGGTGAGGAAGGGCAAGGGGAGGGGGAGGATAGTCTCCAGCAAATGACAAACTGGGGGTTGAATGTCCTGGCAGCATGTCCTGGCCTGACAAAGTTACCTCCAAGCCTGGGACACCAGGGCTTGGTGTTTCCCTGGCCACTGGGATCTCCTTGGTTGCTGCTGCCTGAGCTGTCGCAGGTGATGGAGCTGTGCTGTGTTTGAGCGGGGCTGTGGGGATGCCAGTGCCATTTGTGCTGGTGGCCTGGTGCAGGGCAGCAGCCTGGCTGGGTGTTGGGCTTGCACTGGGCAGGAGGGAGGTAGCCTGGATGAGCCAGGCTGTGGTGGTCCCAGACTCCATGGCCATCCTGTCCTGTGGAGAATCAGGGTGAGGATGTCGTGAGCAGTCAGCCTGCTCTGGGCCAGGGCTGAATCCTTAGTGCAAGCAGGCAAGAGGGGGTTTGGAGCTAAGCCCAGTTTCTGCAGCATTCCAAAGCCTGATCGGTGCCACTCAGCCGTTGCCCTGGCTTGTGTCTCTGTGTCCAGGATGGCAGTGGCACCCTCCAGCGCAGCAGCTCCCTGGGAAAAATCCGGGATGTGATACGGAGAAGCAGTGAGATGTTGGTCAAGAAACTGCAGGGCAATGGTCCCCTGGAGCCCAGGAACACCAGGTAGGGACCAGGGCTGCGAGGGCCAGGCTGGGTACAGGGTGGGTGGGGGTCCTGGCACTGAGGGCCAGGCTGGGTACAGGGGGTCCTGGCACCTTGGGGGTCGGGATGACACATGCTCTCCTCTGCTTTCTTGTAGCATGAAGCGAGCTGCGTCATTAAATTACCTGCACAAGTCTAGTGATGCTTCGTTTGAGGTAAGCACGGGGCAGGCGGTGGGGCTGGCACGGGAATGGGGGCTGAGTTGGGGGCTGCGTGGCCACAGCTGGTTGTGGGGACCTTTTGCCAGTGACACAGCTGGTGAGGGGCCGAGTGGGCCACATTAATGTGGTGCCCGAGACCCCCCTGGAGGCGTTGATCCATGGGGGGGTGCGCTCTGGCTGCGTGGGGCTGGAGCTACGCTGCCTTCCCAAGGGGTGGCCTGGGCCGGCGCCCCTGGGCAGCTGTGCAGCCCCTCTTCGGAGCCCCCAGCTACGGAACGGAGGGTGTTGCCTCCCAGTAAGCCCCCCCCGGCCTGCTGTGAGACTGGGGGACACGGACTGGGAGAAGGGGGGACAGAGGTGAACCCCAATGCAGGCAATAATCATAGAACCATAGAATGGT